ATTATTGAGAGTTGTGGAGAGCTATGATCGCCCATAATTTTCCTCTTTGGTGGGTAGTTAACATTATTTTCAGTTACCTGCAATTTCTTTCTTGTATCAGCATGTGGGCACCTGTAGTTTTCAGATTTTTTCCCTCAATGTCTTACCTCTTTAGTATGTAGATGATTCTGGCACTATACATTCTTTTTCTTTATTATCTGTGAATTGCCATGACTTCTTGGGTGTAGTTTCCTGTTGCCTTCTCCACAGGTTTGAATCCAGATTGGTTGCCCCTCAACACTGGAGAGCCCAGTCTACCCTGCTATTTAACTTACAGCTTGGGGAAGAAGAGACCTTTCACAGTGTCATTTGTGCAAAAGTGAATGCAATAGGCCAGACAGGAATATGAACCTATTTTGCTACACATTCATCATTTGGTCAAGTACATGTCTACAAGTGGAGGAGGGTGAAAGTAAATTCTTAACACTTTAGTTTCTCTTGATATCATTTAGACAAACAAAATGAATGACGAGATGGAAAATCTTAGGAGTGACACATTTTGTTCCAATAAACTTCTTCAGATGATGGTTTTATCAAAAAAATCAATCTTATGAAACATTAAAGATATACTCAGCCTTTAACCCTATCAGCCCTTGAGTGATTTTAATTGTTAAATCCCTGAAGTCCTAACCTGTTCTATGTGCCGTGACCCTTCAGGACACTAGCAATCATGGATCTCCATAATTTCATGTCTTTTGTAGCTCTTAGTAAATTTTGCCTTTTTGTCATCACTCCTAGACCTAGTTCTGCCATCCATTTACTCAATTTTGCTAGGTTGTTGTTGTTATGTGTTGTTTTCATCTATCCAATTCCTCTTTCCTTATGTGTTCTAGAATTTTGAAGTATCTCTTCCTGATGTATAAGTGTCCTTTTTGTTTCCATTTTCTCTAGCACCTAATTGCTCAAAGAATTCTTCTGTAGAACCACATTTCTGTTGCTTCAAGTCTCTTTATTTGTGAAGAGATTGTCCAGCATTCACTGCCATATAGGAGGACTGATATTAGATAAAAGTTCAGTACTCTGTTTTTGCACTTAAATTGATATATTTAAAGAACCACTGAAAATCAAATATTACAGTTTTATATAAGAGTAAATTGACTTCTCTTTCAAATAATACAAAATTTATCCTCCTTGGTTTTACTGGTTATGAAATATGGTTTCAGAAATCTATGACTTTTACTTTTACAGATCAACAAGGCCAATATACTCAGACCCTCTGTCATGATGATTTGTGACATTGTGCTAGCTCAACCATCATTGTCCTCCAAATAGTTCTGTCTACCCAATTTCAATCACAAGGTTTGGGTGAATCTGTCGTATGGTTTTCACACAGTCTAAAGATGCCAGATGCTGTTATTGCCTCTTCAGACTGATAACATGAAGAAGTCCCTGACAAATCGATTGGGGTGAAATTCAAACCAGGGTCTCATAGTCAGAAAGTGAATATTCTAATCACTCAGTCATGTGCCCATATGTTATATCAATAGTAAATTTGTATTGTATATAGTACAGGTTGAGAATCCTTTATCCAAAATTCTTGGGACTGGAAGTGCTTCAGTTTTCAGATTGTTTTGTATTTTGGAATACAGGCTATTTAATTTGTATATAGCATCTATAAAATGAAGCAGTTTAGGAATGGAACTCAAGCATAAGCACCACATCACTTTACATTTTTTAACAGGGCTTATACATATACCATGAATTTAGTTTTATATAAATAACATATACCCCGAAAGTAGTTTTATATAAAATATATAAATAGAATATATCCTCACATGGGACATAGTAGATGAATCTGGCCCTTTTGAATTTGGAGTCTTAAAAATGGTTTCTCCAGATGCATGAGTTTCTCTATATTATATATAAGACCCTTCCTTTTTCTTTCTCCTTCCATTCTGCTCATTGTATAGACATATGTAATACTATCAGTATAACCTGTCTTCGACCAGGTGTTCGACTGGGAATTTTTGCCATTAAATTGGAGCAGTTTAAGTTTAAAGTCAGCCCATCTGAAAGTCAATATTAGTAATTATTGGGTGCAACTGAGGCCATCTGAAATTCAATATTAGTAATTATTGGGTGCAAAATGCGGGGGGTTAACAATTTGAATGAGAGGGTGGCATGAAAAGGGCCATTTTTGTGTTCTCAATCTTGTTCCAGCCTCACACACAGCAGCAATTGAAGAGATGTTTCTCCTCTGCTGTTGAGTCCTTTGATCATCATTTTCAGCCTCACGTGCAGAAGTGTTTAGGTATGCTCTTCTGGGAAGCTGATGGTTGCATTGATCTTTGAACTCAGTGGCTCTGATTGAAGCATTTTGAGACAGGTGAACTGAATGTTCTAAAAATGATTTGTTATCTCTTATTCGCATGGCAGACCTAGCAGCAGCGGTTTTGCAACCTAGGCAAGTTCTTTTCTTTGGTGGTATATCTTAGACAAGTATGAATTGTCAAATGGAATGTGTCGACAAATACCAGAAGTGAACGCTGTAAATCTACAGGGATCACTAAGCTCAAATAATTTTAGGAAAAGTTGGAAAAATAAATGTTGAGTAATAAAAAAGTGAGCTTACTTATTACTATGGTGAATGCTATGCAAAACACTGGCTAGACAATAAAAAAATTTAAATTGGTAACGGCTATAAACGAGAATGAAAACTGTAGTAGTAGGCTTTATGCAACGGAAAAGGTAATCTTACTTGAGAGAGATTGAAAGCTTGGCCAAGAGAAGGGGAATGTGTAAGTAGAAGCAGAATTGTGGAATTAAGCGGTAGCAGTGAGCTTAAGACTGCTTAGACAATCAGTATGACACAGTGACATTTGATTGGACATGTAAAGAGGCTTCCTGCAGCCAATGGGCAGCATGTGACACATTACATGTTGCAGGGCTGCACATACATGCATTGCTGCACATGCTAATTACCAAAATCAGCAGCAATCAATGGTCAATGTGTGGAGGTGTGAATCACGCCCACACAACCTAAGCTAGGATTGGAAGGTTATGTGTGAAAAAGTAAATTAATTTTTGCCTTTGATTTTTGCGCAAAATGTAAAAAAAATCTTTCTTTTTTTTTTAATTAATATTTTAATTAATTTTTAATTTAATTTTTTTTAATTAATTTTTTTCAATGTTGTAATTTTTTTCCAGCCACTTTGAACATAAAACCTGGACTGAAGAATTATCTATCAAACAAAAAACTTTCATCAAAATCGGATGAACACACATTTTGGGAATTATAGATATAGATATATGTCATTCTCTGTATGGGACATATAACATATAGTTTTGTGTATGTCTTTGTTTTATAAAAGTCTCTCTGAGAGAACAAAGCATGCTTGTTGTTCCTTTTCCTTTCAGCCATTTCATCCAGGAATTACAGTGTTATTATATCACAGATATAATAATGTCCATAACAGGGAAAATAAAAATGGGAGAATAAATCCTTTCTGCTATAGTTCTCTCTCTCATTAAACTAGCAAAAGTACTTGGCTTTGTAAGGTTTCTAAACATTTAATATAAATACAATTATATGATTGTACTACACTTTCTATCTTTTTATTTCAACTAGATTCCTCTAAAATACTTTCTACTCTTTCATGTCTGCAAGGCCTATTTCTTACATTTCTTTCTTTATTGGGTCTTGGTCATGTGACCCTTCCAATATGCATATATACCATTCATGAAAAAGAATGACTATAAACAATGAAATTCTGACCAGTTTTTTCATGCTTCACAAACATTTTTTTTAACAAAAAAAAAGAATACTGAACTATACTTTGTCCATTTTTGGTCACTAGTTTCCATGACCGATGACCAATGCCTTAGACAGCAGTCTGGATACAAATCACTCCAACAGTGAACTTTGACCTCTCCAATGTCACCTCACCCAGATCAGCAGGTACCACCTCTGCAATCCATTATTCCTGGGGAGAACAAAATTACACACACAATTCACAGGAAAAAAAACACTGGTCCAAAAAATCATACAATACCAAAAGGCCCACACCACAGCGTCAACCAATTCCATAACTGAGCCACAACCTTGCCACCTAAATTTTACATTTTAAATATGTTATGGTCTACACTTATTTTTTTACTGACAGTGCCACAGTACATACAGTCCCTTATCACCCTATTTATTCAACCAAAACCAATGACTTTGTTATTTGTGTATTACCAGATTTACTTGAACAAACCTTCACAAATTTACCATCATTAATTTTCTATAATTATTCCTATTAGCCATCTGCGTCAACCCATAACATCAAAAATAAGAATCGAAAAAGACTACGCTCAACTGAAGAAAAATATTGTCATGGCATACATATATATGCGAGTATGGAAGTCATAATGGTACAGTGTTAGTATTTGAATAAATAAGTATTAAACTTTTTCTCCCACATTAGCTAAAAAGGCTTTATCAGCTTTATTGCAATTTTCTACTTCTTATAGATGTGAATTAGGCTTCTTGACCCTAAATAACATCAAAAATTAGAAATGAGAAAGACTACACTCAACTGAAAAAGAAATGAAGATCTGTGTATCGCATATTCGACCAAACATTGAAGAAATTGCAAAAAACACCAGGCACAGATTTCATACTAAATAAGTTGCATAAATAGTTGAATAGAAACATTAAAAGAAAGTAAGTTTATATTTGTGTGTATTTTTTAATCTATGGATTTATTTTATAACATTTAAATGTATACTCTTTAAAATTTTGCTAAGTGTGCCGTGATATTTTAATTTGCTCCTTAATTTTTTCCATCTTAATTTTTTCATTCTTTCTCTCTTTCTTATTTTTTCTTTTGTTGTTATTTTTAATTTCTTCCTTTCTTGCTTTTCTTTCTTATTTTTTCTTGCTTTTCTTTCTTATTTTTTCTTGCTTTTCTTTCTTATTTTTTCTTTGTAGTATTGGCCAAGCTATTGCAAAACATTTAGCAGAAAATGGTGCTAAGGTGATGATCAGTAGCAGAAAGAAAGAACGAGTTGAAAGTACAGTACAGAAATTAACTTCCCTGAACCTTGATGTTGCAGGAACTGTGTGCCATGTTAATAAAGCTGAAGACCGCAAAAGTTTAATTCAAGAAGTATGGATTTAACCTATTTTGTTGAACCTATTTCCCTCAATATAACTCACACCAATTTACAAGGTTGGTGATTGAGTGATTTGTTTAATACCAAAATTTAATAATAAATATATAATATATGCTATCCTGCTTTCACAATTAAATACATGATAGATGATAATCACCTTTTATGCTTAGTAATTTTACTATAAATAGGTATTGTTAGTAATTTTACTATAAATAGGTATTTTTTGTAACTTTCCTATAAAAATTTATAGTTGGTAATTTTCCTCTAAAAATCTTTTTTTATACTTCCATAGCATTTTGTTTTTGTTTAGTGGTTCACTATTTAACCATAGCTGGGACCCTAACAGGTGCTGCCATCCTGAGTGATGGAGGGCCTGAGAACAACAGCAATTAAGAGGCCATTCAATGCTCCTCAAAACTTTTGATCTCCCAGTTAGAAGAAATATTTATGAAAAACATAATATTCACCACTATAATGAAATTATATATGTGGTGTAGTCTGCAAACTGAGCCATAAATGATGAGGTGATTAATTGAAATTGAAAATCGGAAATATCACAATTTTTTTTTATATTGGAATCAGAGAATTTTTAACCTAATTTCCAATTCAAAAAAAAAAACAATTTTTGGATATTTTTTTTTGCTTAAAATTTAATTTTCCATTCCTGGTACTAATGATAAAATATATAAATATTTATTGATTTTAAACTATCAGTAAAGTTATAGATCATAGATAACACCTAAGTTAAGTAGAATGTAAATTTATTTTACTTGTGTAAAACAAAAAAATTGCAAGTTTTTACTCAGTTCTCAAACTTTCCATAAAGTTCACGAGTTTCATACTAAATAAGTTGCATAAATAGTTGAATAGAAACATTAAAACAAAGTAAGTTTATATTTGTGTGTATTTTTTAATCTATGGTTTCTGTTTCAATTTAAAATAAAACTTTTATTTTTAATTTCTTTTTAAACATTGTTAATTCACCCATTTAATGTTATAAATTATTAATTCAATAAATTTAATCAAAATTATGTTATATAAACACAAAATGAACTCATGTTGTTCTGCTGGGCTCTATCACAATTTTTATTATTGTCTTTAATTTATAAAAAAGAAAAAATGACTGTATGGAATTCGTGCCAATGTCAAATTTGATATATTCAGATAAAAAATTGACTTCATGTCACAAATTGTCCTTGTGGTGAGGTAGTTAACTTACAATAATTTGTTCTTATAGTTTTAATCCATAAAACCATTTTTTAGTATTAAAAATAAATGTTTACTTTTTTAGGACCCAATTATTGAAAAAAAACAAAACTGAGACTTAAAAAGGTAGATGTTCTTTTTATGAAGTATAAATTTGTTTCTACAAAATTCACATATTTCTTAAAATTTTATAGTTTTCAAAACAGATTTTCATCTTTATTTACTTAAAAAAAATAAAACTTTTATTTGAAGTTTCCTGAAAAAAGCTTCTTTGCACAAAAGTTTGTATTAAAAAACCTAAAATTTAATTTCCATCAAAAATTGTATTTAATTTTATTTTCCTATTATTTTTCTTTGGCATAATTGAACTTTGGTGTGTTAAATTACTATTTAAAATATTTTGAACATTTTTTTTTCTCTTTTATTTCTTGTCAGAGCCAAATGAGATGCAAGTTTTATAAGTAGAAATGTATAAAAAAGTTAAAAACGAGTATTTCTATCTCATTTGGTGTGATTAAGCCATAGTTTTTTCCACTTTTAATATGATTTGTTTTAATATTTTTAAAATAAAACTAATAAAATTTCATCTTCTAATAATCTAATAAATAACGGAAAAAATCAAACCCATGCAAAAAAAATACACATTTACAGTTGTTCTCATCCTGGAAATTTTAGTCATTTTTAATCTTATTTTTATTTTAATGTTGTAATAGTTGAATCTCATACCTTATAAAATGATCAAGTTGGATATCAGCTTTATTTAGCTTTCAATTTCATAATATTTTAAAAAATTTATTGTAAAGTTTGCTAAAATTGCTCATATCTCTTTAAAAAAAAAATCAAGGGAAATGTTTTTACTGTGTTGTTGTCCTTTTACACTTTTTCTTTTAACAAAAATAAAACACATTTTTATTCCTTTTAGAAATTATTCAATTTTTTGTGAGAAATTTATTGAAGACCCTTTATTATTTATTTATTCAGTTGCTGTGATAATTCATATTTAATTATCATTAAACGACTGTAAGCAAAATAAAATTTGCATTCATTTTTTATTCACTATCCTGCAGGATTAGGTAGTCCTTATACTTTATCAAAATATATGCATGAGTTGAACCACAATACATAGGATGATGCATTTCTGCTTAGAGTATGATTGTTGCAATATCATATATATATGTGTGTGTGTGTGTATTAGGGTGTCTCTTATTTTTGAAGTGCATGCTGAAATTGAATTATCACCCCTAAATTTGTTCCATTCATTGAAAAATGCCACATTTTTTTTTTTTAAATTTAAAAGGTGGACAAAAATTTTAAAATTGGGTTGAATCTTTACAAATTATACACATTAGTAAGCTTGAAACATTTTCTAACAGTAAAAAATTTAAATTTTAATCAATGTTTATTATTTTCAGACTCCAATTATGGCAAGTGGATCCAATGCCAAACAGAAAAGTGTAGTTTGAAAGATTTTTTTAAGATTTTTGATGATAACCAAAGTAAAGCAATATGTCAGCTCTAGCTTGGAACTTATGCGATTTACGTAAAGAAATTGTTTAAACTCTTACCAAATTTTTTAAATAAAAGTATATCTAACTTTATTTCATAAGCTTTTGGAAATTTAGAACAATATTGGAATTGGTAAAAATATTGGTATCATCCCATTTATATTTATATATATATATATATATATATATATATATATAATATATAATGTGTGTGTAAATAAAAGTGTTCAATGTAAAATAATACAGCTATTTATATGGTACTTATTTTCTCTTCTGGGGAGATCTCTATAAAAGGAGGAAAAAAATAACAACATAGGAGAGGCAGGCAGATAGCTGATATAAAAGTTGGAGGGCATGAATCTGGGAGGGGGGGGAGTTCCTCAGATGCAAGAGCGGAGGCTATTAATATGGAGTTTACAGCTGAATCTGGCTGGCTCAACTGTGGTTTGATGAGATCTTGTTGACAGTCTAGTACTGCGCTTGAATTCAGGAAGTCTAGGTGTCATGGGAAGGAGCTCATCTGAGCAGCTGCCATGAAAAAAAAAAATGAATAAACTAACAGTAAACAAAATTGACACCAAATTCAAGTAATGATAAATAGAATAGAGTTGATTATGCAGATGGACTCTGGAGCTAATGTGAATATAATGGACTCCCAGGATTACAAAAAAACTAAGAGAGATCATTACTTTAAGAAAAACATATGCCAAATTATTTGCATATATAGGTAGTATCTCCCTGAAAACTATATGGACCCTTAAAGCAATGCATAAGCTACATGTTGCTTATTTTTATGTAGTGGAAGGTAGTAAAGGGTCCTTAATTAGTTCACAAACAGCAGTAGATATTGGCGCATTAAAATTTATTAAAAAGGTTAGCAACTCCACTCTTGATAACCATAATCAATCTAATAAAAATGCAAGTAAATACTAGTCAATATTTAATAATAATAATGATTGACAAATTTTGCTCAGGCTGTCAATCTATGTCAATGCAGATCGGAAATAATGGATAAACTCTTTGTGAGAATTAAATTCCTGTCCATTTTGTTTCAAGGATTCATGGTTAAGCATACCGGCTGCATTTAACCCAGATATGAGAATTCATCAGCTTTATAGAAGATCATATCAACCATAATCATGTTCTTTCTCAGCACCAAATTTGTTTTTGCTTTTACACTAATGAAAGTAGAATTAGTAGCAGCAGTATTATTAATAATAGATGAATAAAAATATTATTCATATTGATAGCTTTTCGTATAGAAAAAAAAAAAAAATATATATATATATATACTATACTATATTTACATAAAATGTTTTAAAAACATTTATGAAAGAATTGTTGCCTCTTGGCTCTAAGTTTGAAAACTTTCAAAGTAGAAAAATGATGATATTTTTGTTTTTTGGAAGAACGAAAAGGATGATGTCGCATTTAAAAAAATATTTTTGACAGATTATGTGCCTCTGGTTTGACTTTGAATAAGCGGAAATGAGTTTTTAATTCTGAAGTAATTTGTGATACCTTTCCTACATGTTATCCGGACTGAGTGCTATGATTGTGCAGAAACAAATAGACAAAACACACAAAGTAATAGCATATGCCAGGTGTAATCTTTAATGCCCACAAAACAATGGTACAGCTAACTTTAGTGTGAAGCTCTAGGATTGTTGTTTGCGGGTGTTTGTTTTCAGTTGTACCTATTAGAATAAATTTTGATTTGAATACCAATCATCAACCTTTAGTTTACCTGTTTAACAAACCCCAAAAGCAGTACAGTACCTTTTCAAGTAAAAAGGATGTGCTTAAAATTACTTGATTTCATTTTCAAATGAAATGTCATCCTGAAAAGCACAACCCAGTTGACTATATCTCTCATCGTCCATCGTCACCGTATAAAGTTTCAAAAGAGGTGAAAATAGCTGAAGACTTAGGTCAGCTACTGCAAGTGATAACATTTTATTAGAGTTTAAATATTTGTTGCAGAACAACAAATCACCTACAAATACAAATGAAATGAAGCCTTACCTTCCAATATGAGGTGAACTCTCCATTGAATCTGATATTGTGTTGTGGGTTTATTGAATCATTATTCCAGCTGCTTTGCTGAAAAAGGTTGTAAATGTGGCACATGAAGGTCACATGGGATTAGTAAAAACCAAACAAATTTAGTTCCCCCATCTAGACAAATTAGTAAATGATGCGATCAAGGACTTCCCCCATCTAGACAAATTAGTAAATGATGCGATCAAGGACTTCCCCCATCTAGACAAATTAGTAAATGATGCAATCAAGGACTTCCCCCATCTAGACAAATTAGTAAATGATGCAATCAAGGACTTCCTCCTTTCTCAAGCAACTATGTATCAAAATATTAGATATCATATTAGGTGTTTGGTAATGAGAGAAAGGAATAATGTGGATTAGTTTTAGAACAACATTTATTGTTGGCATGTCATACAGACATGTTGAAGGATAGGTGGAATGTCCATTTCAGTGGCCGGTCATCAGGATGACAATCAGGTGTAAGGATAGTGCTAGGGTTGACCTAATTCTTGCGTGGATTTGGTGTGAGGTCACAGGATATGGTTGGTGCCTGTGTTGGTTGATCCAAGCCATGGTGAAGGGTAGTATATTGTGAAGCCAGGTGAAATATCAGTTTTAATGGGTGATTGTCAGGATAGCAATCTGATGCAAGCGTAGTGCTGGGATTGACCTATTTTTTTGTACTGGCCTGGCCAATGTAACAGGATATGGTTGGTGCACATTTGGCTGATTGAGGCCACAGTGGTAGATCGTTTTTTTGGTTGGTAGACCTTTGTATTGAACCGGGGTGATGTTGGCTTGACATTATGTTGGTGGGTCAAGTCGGTTGCATGTTTGTGGAGTCATAGTCGCTTGCTTGCAGAGTTGGATTTGCTGAAGTGATGGTGTTGCTGGTGAGGAAGGCTTGTAGCTTGGGAGTGCCGATATTTAGATGTTATCAAGTTTGTATTTGCTGAGGTAACAGCGTCATCAACGATGAAGTTTTGTAACCGGGTGGAGTCAAAGTTGAGTTTGAGGATAGCTGCCGAGGTGGTTAGTCAAGTCTAGGAGTGGTAACCATCATTGAGAGGTGTGGTCATGTTGAGTAGTGGCGATGATGGTCATGTTGGTAGTGGCTGCAGCAGCAGCACTCTGTATGATGGACAGTGGTCCGCCTGGCCACAATTTGCTCATGTTGTTCTCAGGGACCTGCTTTTAAGCAGGTCTGGTAGTCTCCAGGGGCATCTCTTTATTCACCTAGAAACATTCATGATTGGCTGCTGCTAGAGCTTACTTTGTAGACGGGACATGATGCACAGAAAATGACTTTCTTATTTCGTTCATGGTGTTCACATCCAGCCAGCATGCAAAATAAATTGCAGGAGAGTATATCATAGAGAACCACTGCAACTTAACGTATTGCCAAATAACCCTTGAGAAAATGTGGCAGCAGATTTTTTGGGACCTGTAACCAATGGGGAATATTTGCCTGTAATTTCTGATGAATATAGCAGATATCTAGAGGTGGAAATATTTGCTTCAATAAAAGCTGAAGCTTTTATACCAACACTAGATAAAGTATTCTCAGCCTAAAAATTTAAATACAGATTATTGACCTCCTTGAAAGGGTGAGTCAATTAAGGGCTTTGCAAAAACCCATGGTTTCCATCATCAACCTGTTACACCTGTCTGGCCACAAGCCAATTCAAACCCTAAAAATTTCAATTGAACCTTGCGTAAACTGAGACAGTCTGCTAAAATAGAAGGAAAAAGCTGGAAACAGGAATGGTATTGATTTCTGCTTATGTTCTAGACCCGACAGTTTAGAGGGAAGCTTCCTAAAATTTAACAGAAATATGGCAAAATGGAACCTGAAGTATTATTACGCCAAAAAAAGGAAATACTAGCAATATAAACATATCAATTAGAGATACAGTATTGGTTAAACAAAGCAAAATAAAAGTATTGCTCCATTTCAATCCAACACCATATGTTGTCACAGCAAAAAAAAAAAAATAAAAAGGGATGATAACTGCAACATCAGCCATGCAGGGTAAGATGACAATGAATTGTTCGCATTTTAAGAAATTATGAAAAAAGACGTGTATTTGGAACCAGTGATAGGTGAAGAGAAAGCGTTACCTCTACCTATACACAGATATCCCCTTCAAGAGAAAAGAGCACCTCTAAGATTGGATAACATTCTCAATAAAGTAAGGGGAAGGTGTAATGTGGTACTTATCTCTCCTTCTGGGGAGGAAGAGAAGATAACATAGGAAAGGTAGGCCGATAGACAACATAACACAAGGCAATGTTATTTTTGTCATCTCCCTTCTCTTACATTGACAGTCCTTCCCACAAATATTTAGTAGCATGTTTCCTGGTGGTTCATTAGAATACACTACACCAGAAATGTATCCAATATAGTAGTGGTTCTATAGCGTAGAAATTATAGTCAACACACGGGTCACTAATTAGACTTTGAGAATATAAGATCTGTCATTCTCTTGTTTCGGTTCACCCTGGTTGTTTCTTTTTTGTCTATTTCATCCCATCTCTGGCACAATGTAAGGAACAGGCCCAAATAAGGAAACTTGATGCATATATTAACTGTTAACAAGAAATAGTTTGTTACCTGTATGTATTTATATAATGTTTTCATTTTCAAAACATGGTCAAGATATTGTGTCCATGTTCATAGTTGATGTTATTGAGTGTTGTTTTTATTAATAAGGCTTCCATTATTTTTAGCCTTTTTTGCATGTAGATGATGCTATTATATGTTGTCAACAACTATGTTACAAATAGTGTCTGGTAGGTCTCCATCAATATTTAAATAAGATCTAATTGAGCGATGGTCAGAAAGATTTGACGCAAAAACTCACTCTACAGTGAGTCTTCATGTCAAACATGTCAATTATTTATGAATTTTGATTGATCAGGAATACAATTCCTTAATGGATATTTAAATTCATAAATAATATTTGTCCTATTTAATTTTATTCTAGGAGGTGAATTATTATTTTTAACTATAAGGTTAAAGGTTTTAAATTTTGTCTTTTTGCTATCTTTTCTAATCCTTATACTGCCAATCATTTAAATGAACTCCTTAGGTAATGTTATTCATTGCTTTCCACTGTCCCTTTTGCTTTTGAATTGGTCCTGTGAGGCTTACATTTTCTAAGCCCTCTTTTCTCATTATATGTCCCAAAAGCAGTCTCTTTTTGATTCTGAGTGTACTTTTTGTCTCCTTTTTCCTTAAAACTTTGCCATATTCACTCCATTGTATTCTCAACATCCTTCTGTAGAACAACATTTTTGTTGCCTCAAGTCTCTTCTTCAGTTGTGAACTTTCTTGAACTGATTGCAAACAGTTTGAAATGCAGCAAATCTCCAATTCCACCATCTCTTGGCTGCAACACATTCAAGGGGGAGTCAGGAATGGCTGGTCAGGTTTTGCTGGATAAAACTTGACATTCAAAAAGGATCAATTCTGAAATAGAGTAGCAATTTTGGAGACAGTATGTTTTGAAGGTTAAAAGAGGCACTTCCACCATTTGAAATATAAAGTTGTCCCATCCTGCCTTCATGTAAGGAAAAAACTTCTATAGAATGATAAATCAGTGTGGGGGGATGCCTTTGGTTTGGCATCAACTTGGACACTAGAAAATGGTCTGACATTCCCATGGGGTGAGGATGGTGTAAAGCTTCTATGAAGTATTTTTCAGGGCAGGATGTGAGGTAAGGGGTCCAGGAGGTTTGCCTGATGTCTGGTTGCATCAGGATCACAGGTGGGTTCCTCAATGATCTGAGTTAGTTCATAGACAATGGAGAAGTCTCCCTTCCTCGTCAATTTTGATAAAGTAAGTTAACCACTCTTTGTGATGAAAATATTGAAGTCACCACAGATATGAAAGCTAGCCAAGGGGAAATCAGTGAAGATTTTATCAATCCTCTCTGATATTCACTCAAAGATTACCAACCCTTCATCCTGACGGTGATACAGAGCAAAGATAAATGTGGTGCTATGTTTAGGTTTCCCATGGAAGCACATGACATGAGATCAGGGTCCTCATTTTGTGCGTCCCTGCCACAGGGAAACCCATCCTTTATGTAGGCACTAAGCCTGTAACTATGGTGATTTAGGTGGTTATATTTTGTTATAATGGGTGACTAGCCAGGGATTGCAAGCTCCAGCAATTGGATCAAGGTATTAATGCTTATTTCAGACAGAAAGAGGAGGTTGTGTTTGAACTGAAGAAGGTCAAATTCCATGTCTGGAAAGTTGAAACATAGACCTCCTTACATTGGTGTTGGAGTTGATATACCTTTTTTAATTCTAGGGGTGGGAATGGGGGTAATAGTTTTGTTCTTTTTCAATTTGATTTCTTTCATGTCTGTTTTGGATGGTTTGGGGGATGACTAGTAGGCAGTGAGAGAGAGAGACACCCATTGGAGATACATGCATAAATAACTTGGATTAACTCACCAGGAGATACTGCTGTAACAGTACCCATCATCATGACATCGAGAGGCCCCAATGGAGATGACTGCACAGTCCAAAAACTGTTCACAAAATGGCAGTACAATAGTATTATGCATCTGCTGATAGGGTTAACCTTCTTTGATGGTTCAGACCCCTAATTGTCAGGCAGATAACACAAAAATCCAGAAAATGTCTTCCTCCAGCTCCTTTAATGAGGGGACAAATAACCTAGGAAAAATTCAAGCATAATACTCCGAGTGTACGTGTTTGTCTGCCTAGAAGTTAAGGCAACAGAAGTCTTCCTTGGGTCTTTTCAATGTTGAAGATTAAATTTTTATTTTTTAGTATAATGGCAAAAAACAAAAAAATTATAATTTATCTTTTATAATGTAACATAAACATCAAGAAATGATATTTATTATACTTATTTTTTGTGCTTTTTAAATTCTCTTTTCTTTGTCTTCTTCAGACACTTAAAACCTTTGGTGGCATTGATATTTTGGTAAACAATGCTGCAACCAATCCAGCATTTGGTCCCATTCTTGATGTATGTAACATTTTTTTTTATTGTTATTAAATGAAGAATATACAATACATTTGAGTAAACTTAATTTCTTGAATTCTATAGATTTAGTATTTAGAGGAACATTATTATGGCAAATGGGAAAATCACCTCCCTCAAAAAAGAGTTTGTGCCCTGTGGACAGTTTGCTGAAAAAAAATATATTATTGGCTCTCGTGATTATAGTTTTGAAAACTGGTTGATCATCCTTTCTATTCTCCTGACTATCATCTGTTCACCAAGTAGAGTTGAAATTAATGCATGCAAGATTTCACAGCTCTAGAATCATTTCTTCATAGTCAGCCTATGAACTTTTCAGCAAACACTCATACTAGCATAAAATTAATAATAATGGCTGACAATATTTCAGCTAATAAAAATGATGATAAAAGTAAATACTAGTCAAAAATTAATGATAATAATTAACAAATTTTACTTGGGCCATCAATCTACATCAGTGCCGATCAGAAATAGGAGAATTAAATTCCTGTCCATTTTGTTTCAAGGATTCCTGGTTAAGCATACCAGCTGCATTTAACCAAGATATGAGAATTCATCAGCTTTATAGAAGATCATATCTTGGCCATCAACCCACCATAATCATGTTCTTTCTCAGCAACAAATTTGTTTTTGCTTTTTGTTAGTAAAAGTAGAATTGGTAACTGCAGTATTAATAATAATAATAGATGAACAAAAATCTCATAAAAATATTATTCATATTGATAGCTTTTAGTATAGAACATATATATGCTATATTTACATAAAATGCTTCTTTTTTTTTTTTAAATATTTATGAAAGAATTGTCACTTGGCTCTAAGTTTGAAAACGTTCAAAGTAGATGGTTTTATATAAATGCTATTGACTAAAAATAAACATTGTGATATTCATATAATGAAAAGCCTTTCTTTTGAGTTATATGCCTGGAAAATTTACTTATAAAAAAAACTTCTATTTTTTTTTTTTTTTTACATTCATTTTGAATTTGTGAAAATTGTCTGCACATATTGAAGAAAAAGAATATTTTTAAAAATAACATCAACCACCATTTTTGAATTTGACATTGTTTTCTATTTTATTTAGTTACTTGTTTTTATTTTCTTTAATTTATTTTAGACATCTGAATCTGCCTGGGATAAGGTTAGTAGAAATTTAACATTTTTTCATTAATATTTACTGCATTGTTGTTTTCTATTTTTCATATTTTTGTTTTTCATTTCTCTGATTTTTATTTTTTTTCTATTTTTATCTACATTTTCTTCTGCTTTTTTTTAAAAAAAAATTTCTGCTTTTATAACTTTTTTACTCTTTCTTTTTTGATTTTTTTCTGATTTTTTTACCTTTTTTTTCTCTCTGTTGAATTTTCTTTTTTTCTGCTATTTTTCTTTTCTTTTGCATTTTCCTTTTTTTCTTTTTGCTTTCTGCTTTTTCTGCATTTTTCATTTTTTTCACTTTTTGGCTTTTTTCTGCTTTCCCCCCCTTTTTTTTTTTTTTTTTTTTTGCTTTTTCATTTTTATCTTTTCTCTGCATTTTTTTGCTTTTACTTTCTTTCTGCTTTTTTTTTTCTTTTCTGCTTTTCAAATTTTTCTGCATCCTGGGTAAGACGATAAACTACATCCAGCAGCAAAGCCTCTGATCAAGAGGTTTTGAGGAGTGTGGGACCACCTCTTAATTGCTGGTGTTCCCAAGTCCACCCTGACCCAGGGTGGTAGTACCTGTTAGGGTCCCAGCTATGGGTAAATAGTTAACTATATACTTTTTTGAAAAAAATTATTACCAGCAATAAAAATTTTTGTCAGCATTAAATAACCCATTGAGGTTGATATGCCATAAAACAAAATAAACCAAACCAAACCAAATTTTTCTGGTTTTTCCCTTATTTTCTTTTTTTTGCTTTTACTTTTTACTGTATTTTCATTTTTTCTATATATTTTGTTATTTATTTTCTTATTTTTCTGCCTTTTCTTCACTTTTTTTCTTATTTTTTTTTTTTTTTTCATACATTTATCTTTTCTCTCTTTCTTTTTTTTTTTTTTTTTTTTTGTTAATGTGTTTTCTATTTTTATGCGTTTTCTTCTGGTTTTCCTTTTTTTTCACCTTTTTCTTTTTTACTGCATTTATAGTTTCCCTCTTTTGTTTTTCATTGTTTTCTGTGGTTTTCATTTTTCTAGACTTACTTTTTCTGCTTTATCAAGTTTTTAATTTTCTCATTTTTCTCACTTTCCAGTTTTTTCTGTTTTTTGGGTTTTTTTTAACTTTTTTTTTTTTTTTCAATTTTTTTCTGCTTTTCTTTTTGTTCTTAAATTTTTGCTTTTTTTAATGCTTTTCTTTTTTCTCATTTTTTTCTGACTGTTTTTTTTTGTTTTTGCCTTTTCTGCTTTCTCTTTTTTTCTTTTTACTACTTTTCTGTTTTTTATTTTACTGCATTATTTTTTGTCTTTCTTCATTTTGGTTCTACATTTTTCTGCTTTTTCTCTTTCTCTTTTTTCTACTTTTTCTATTTCTCTTTTTTCTACTTTTCTTTTTATGCTTTTTTCTTATTTCCCTTTTTTTCTTATTTTATTTCCTGTTTTTCTTTTTTATTTGTTTTTCTGATATTTTTTACATTATTCTACCTTTTTTCATTTTCTGCTTTTTTTTCTCATTATTTTCTCCTCTTTTATTTGATTTTTCTCATTTCCAATTTTCAGCTTTTCCTTTTTTAGCTTACCTCATTTCTTTGCCTTTTTTGTTATTTCACTTTTTTTCTTTCTTTTTTTATGCTCGTTTGCCTTTTGTATTTTTTCTTTCTAGATTTTTTTTATACTTCTCTGTCTTTTGTTTATCTACTTTTTTCAACTATATTCTTTTTTTCTGCTATATTCTTTTTCTTTCTCTGCTTTTTTCTGTCTTTGTATTTTCTGATTTTTCACTTTTTTCTCCTTTTATCTTTTTGTTTTATTCTCTTCATTCTACTTTTTTCATACACTTTGCTTTTTTTTACTTTTTATATTTTTTTTTCGGCTTTTTTTGTACATTTTCATTTTTTGCTTTTACCATTTTTCTACTTTTATTTTTTTTTTTTTGCAGTTTAATTTTTTCTTATTCTTTTTCTACTTTTTTGCATTCATTTTTTTTCCTTTTTTGCTTATTTTTTTTATCTTTTTATTCTCTTTATTTTGCTTCTTTTTTCCTTTTCTCAATTTTTCTTTTTTTTCTTTTTTTTCCTTCACCATTTTGTGCTTCTTATTCTGCTATTTTCTTTTTGCACTTTTCATTTTCTGTTTCTTTTACTTTTTTTCTCCTTTCAACATTTTTCATTTTTTCTGACTTCTGCTTTTTCAGTTTTCTCTTTTTCTTTTTTTGTTATTGTTTTCTCCATGTTTATCTGTTTCTTCTCTTTGTTTTTGCTTTTTTTCTTTGTTGATTCCAATTTTTTAATTTTTTTTCTTTTCTCTTTTCCTGCTTTTTTTCTCTTTTTTGCATTTTGCTGATTTTTTGCTTTATTCTACTTTTTCATGCTTTTCCTTTTTTTTGTTTTTATGCTTTTTCCTTTTTTTTATGCTTTCCCCTTTTTTGCGTCTTCATGCTTTTTTCTTTTTTATGCTTTTTTCTACAGTTTTCTCCTCCTCTTGCATTTTTTCCCTTTTATTCTGATGTTTTTTTTTGTTTTTTTTTTTTTTACTTACAAATAAATCTACTTTTTTATTAAGTTTAATTGATTTTTCTTTAGATATTTGATACAAACCTGAAAGTTCCATTCCTGTTAACCAAAGATGTTGCTCCCTTAATTGAGAAACGTGGGTAAGTCACAACCTCTATTTCTTTCTTTTTACAAATATTCCCTTTTATTATTGTTGTTGTTCACATAAAATGCAAATTTGATTTGAAATTTGTTCATCTTTTATCAAGTTGTGATTGTGATCTTTCTTTTAGAAGGTTCCTGTTAACAAGAATTTTTATATTGTCCTTGGTAATAGTTATAAATATAGGCCAGTATCAATCTACTGTGTTTTTCTCGTCCCTAAGATGGGCAGAAATTATCATTAGCAGATGACCTCTTAATGACTTCATATGTCAGGCATGGCTGATTTCTCTAGTGGTCATGTCTCTGTTCAGGGGTTTCTCCTTCTGGCTCAGAGCTCTCAGCTTATATCCTTTTGATTATTGGTGCAACCTTGGTTTTTTGGCTAACATCAAAAGTTTCTTTGTGTTAATTTTTTTTGATTGGCCAAAATTATTTTATTTTCCGGCATTCCTTTCCTTTTTATAATGGAAATTATGCATGAAGCCTCCCTTATTTTTCGTAATTAGTAGATCCCACAAACTTCTGCCATTTTGCGGCTAGGTTAATCAAAGAAAAAATGACATATGGAATGTGAAAGGTTAGTCATCTCTGCATTGATATGTGCGACATGGAGTGCTGGAGAATAGAGGGATGTGCGACATGGAGTGCTGGAAAATAGAGGGATGTTCATATACTCAAGGATTCCTGACTACAGCAGAGGTGAGCAAAAACTTGGAGAATTGAGTTACTAAAGGGAGATAATTGATACTGCGATATACAAAAGAGGCATGTCACAAAATAAAGGGTTCACTTCAAAATTCTAATCACTTGAAGAAGGCCAACAGCAAAAACATGAATATGGCAACAAAGATGGGGACAACGTCTGAACAATGTAAATAATGTAGACATTTTATAAAAGCTGGATTTAAAATGTTCACAGGGAAATTTTTTCTGTCTACATAAGAATTTTTTCTGAGTGAATTAAAAATAAGAAACAATAACATTTCTAACATATCCCAACAAAGTTTACTCATTTTTGGTTTTGTAATCTTAATTTCAGTTGCTTTTTATTGCAACTTTCATCTTTAAGTAATGAAGACAAAGTACTGCAAATCTTCCAAATTCGATTTCAAATATTATTTTTAAAAGCATAATTTATGATAACAAAAAATTAATAATTCTTGTTGCTTTCTATCACATTTACAATCAACATATCTACTGATTGTTAAAATTCTCAGGTCATCAAAAATTAATAAAGTTTGAAAATGCTTTTTTTTTTTAAATAATAAATACAAATAAGGTGTTTAAATGGTTTATTTGCAGTTTGGATTTGTCAATGAATAAAAGTGCTTCCTTTCTGTTAGGGGAAGCTAATTTCCTTCCCCTATAAAGGATGATCTCAGAATACAATTGAGTTACTTCACTTGTCTGGAAGTTGAGTACAGCTCTTTGAATTAAACATGGTGACATGCATGTGGAATTCATGATTTCAATCCCAAACAAATCCTTGCCGTTCTCGGACAGTGAATGAATAAAATTTGTTTTATTAATTGTTAAAATACACTTGTCTCTTATTTTCATTCATCTTTATTCATCCCAACAACCTGGGATATAACACTTTTATCATTTTGCATTTAATTAGATAATAAAGACAAAATACTGAAATGTTTAAAATCTGAAATCTGGTTTAAAATATTTTATGAAACAAAACCTAGACTGACATTCCTTAGTGGTTTCAAAAACCCCAAGAGAATGTGTATTCTTTGAAGTCTATTTCAAACTGATTCCTATTCAAAAATCTAAATGGCACAGCTTCTCATATCCAAGGATGCCTGTCTACCATTACAGCTAGCTAATCCTTATTGCTGTGTTTGTTCAACACCCCAGAGCCCATCTATGGTTTATACTGAAACTATGCTTAACAGACATTAATTACACTTTCTGGGAGTGTGTGCATTATCTCGCGTGATCAACAATCTGAACAAGGCCATCATGCTCAAACCCTCAGTCATGATGACTTGTGATTTTGTGGTAGCACAACCATTGATGGCTTCCAAGGGTTCTGTCTGCCCAATTTCACTCACAAGGTTTGGGTCAATATGTGTTATGGTTTTCAGGGACCTTTCCAAAGGTGCCATACACTGGGATCACCTCCTTTAGATCTAATGAGAAATTGACCATAATGGTCAGAAATCAAATGTTTTAACCACTAAGCCACATGTGTCCATCCAAAAATAATATTCAAGCAAAGATCTTTGGAAAGCAATAAAAACTTACAAGTAACTTTAATATCAAAATAGTAGAAGAACTCAATGGGAGAAAGACTAATGAAGGTTATAGAATGGTAAAGAGCCCATATTAACATGTAAAATAAAATATATTTATGTATCTGGGATATTGTGTTAATCAAATATGTTTTCTATGGCTTATATCTTTTGGATTTTTTCTTTTTCAAATAAAATATTTATTGTGAACTTAGTTTAATAAAATTGTACACCCACAAAACAAGTTATTATCAATATTTTTAATAAGAATATTATAAATTGAATATCACTGGAAATATTGATAATAAAAAATATATCCTGAAAATTATACTCACATCAGTTGGTGAATACCAATTTTATTTTGAAAACATTAATTTACATAATAAAATCTAGAATAATATATAATTCAATGAAGTTAAGAAAAATTTTGTTTGGCTTTTCCAATTGACATTCAACCAATCAGTGTACAGAAACTATGTAGCTTGGGATGTTAATTTCTAATTTTATTTCCTTCCACAAAATTATGAAATCTTTGTGAAAGTGATCAGTCAAGTTTAGATTTATTATCTGATAGTGATCAAGAACTTACTAATAAGAGGTCACTATTTGATATTTCATTGCACAACAAACCAACTGAGATACCATGTGCATTACAAACAGTGTTTACTCATTAGAAACCTTTTTTTCAAACATTTTATTAGGTTGTTAGGATTCAAAATAAATAAGATCAGTCCTAATATCTTAGTGGTTTTTGAATCCATTTAAAGTGCTGAAATGATTTCTATTTTTTTTTTAAATCCTTTACCACACAAAAGTGGAGTTTTTTTTTGTTTTTTTTTAAATAAATATTTTTCTACTTTTTATTTATTTATTTTCTCTCTAAACTGTTTTCATGAACAAAATTTATTTTTTATTTATGCTATTTCCAATCATTCAAGTGTCGTAGAAGGCAACCATAGTTGTCTCCCCTTTGAACTACTCAACTATAAAAGAAATGGTTCTGTCTCATTTATGGGCAGGAGCAAAGCTTCACTACAAGTTTCAGTGTTAAATATTCGCCTTTTTGTCTTCACACCATCCAACTAGAAATATCTGAATATTCCCAAAAGGCCTATTTCTCAAAATTAATGGATGCATACCAAACACTCAAAAGCTAGTGGTCTTCTTCCATTTAAAACTCTCCCAGTAAAAACTTGTTAACCATCTCACTAAACTAACCAAAGAATTATTTTATTGTGAAGAATGTTCCCAGTAGCCTAAAGGACATTTTCCTGATTTTTCAAGCTTGGTAGCTTTAAATGGAATCTCATAAAATCAAAAGGGAAGTGTGGTAGAAGGTAATCATAGTTGTCTCCCCATCAAACTACTCGACTATAAAAGAAATGGTTGTCTCACACTTATGAACAGGGGTTAAATTGCATTGAATAAACCTTCGCTACAAGTTTCAGTGTTCATCTGTTTGTAGAAAAACAAAAATGTTGTGTAAACATGAAAAGAAAATCTTATTCACTTGCAAATTTATTCATGTCTAATGGTCATGGTAATATTAGCTGTTTCCTTATAAGGAAACATTTGGCATTCAATGACCAAGCAGCCAGTATTATTTTCAGTTGAAATTTATAAAATCTTTCTCTTAAAACATGTTTCCCAAGTCTAGTAGCTTTTATCACTCTTTTCAGTATTGATAGGGTTTTCCTTTTTTTTTTTAATCTTTTCTTTAAAATATTATAGAATGTAAACAAAACTGGAATTTGAACTTTGAATGCCAATTCCATTTTCCACACTGATAACCATTAAGATTTAAAAATTGAGAAAAGGGAAGTGTGGTAAAGACGACCTTAGTTGTCTCCCCCTCGAACTACTTGACTATAAACCTCACTTATGGGCAGTAGCCAAATTGTATTGAATAAAGTTTCACTGTTTATCTGTTTTTAATTAAAAGAAGATGGTAAAAAAGAATGTTTCTTTGACTGATGGCCAAATTTAGAAAAGGAACAAATTGCACCTTGTATTATTTCCTTTAAATAATTAACCAGTTCTGTTTCTTTATTCTTTGTTTGAAAAGCATTAAATTAATAGCAGGTTTTTAATAAATATATTTCAAAGGTGGAACTTAAAAGTAAACTAGATTGTTTTTAAAACTGTTTTTTTTTTTCTCTTAATTTAAAAATTAAATTTTTTGGAGAAGAATTGTAAATTGTAAAACCTAAATTAAATATTCTCAAAAATTTACTCGTGCTTTTAAAAAGAATCTGTTCATTGTCATACAATCAACTGAAAAAATATTGATGTCAAAATTTCTTAAAAAGACATTCTATACAATATGAGTATATCCAAGTACTAAATTTTTTTTTTTTTTTTTTCAGTGGTGGTTCTGTAATCTTTGTATCATCCATTGTAGCTTATCAGCCATTTGCAGTGAGTATTGGTAGAAAAGTCTTTTTTTTATTTATTTATTTTAATGAAAATGTCTGATGCTTAAAATGATTAATTACATGAGTGTGCATATCCTATTAGTCCATATCCTATAAGCTGAATTTTGATCTGAAATTTTCACTCTATAATGTTCAATGTTATTAATTATGATTAATGGAGGAGTGTTGAATTATAAAAAAGATTAGCAATTTGTGTTAGCAATTATGTTTTTGTCAGAAGAGGACCCTGGGGGTCAAGTATGGTTTCAAGATCATGATAATCAAGCAAAAAGGCTTACTTACTGACTAAGAGAGTTACAGATTTGCTACTGGTGCCATTAGTGAAAACCCAGATAAAAGCTGGTATTTCAAGACAGGCCCTCCCCAATTAAAAGTATTTTTCTTCTTCATTTCAACCCCAAGCAAGATGATAAACGTCACTAAGATGCAAAGGGTTACTGAGTGGGAAAAACTGAGAAAAGATTAAGAAAACATTATTAAAAAAAAAGGAGACAACGGAAGATAGCATTGCATTTAAATTTTTTAAGATTATAGTTGACTGGGAAGCAAGAAGCCAGTAGCCAGTAGAGAGTTCCTCATGCAAGAAGTGCAAGAAAATAAACTATTAGCATAGAACTCATGGCTACATGTAGCTATTGCAACTATAAAAGGATGAGACATAATTACTAATCTAATACTTCAGTTAAGGTTCTTGTAGTCAAGGTATCAAAAAGGAAAGCAGGCCCTTTCAAATACTCCCACACTGTCAAATGGTTTTGCAGGACCTCATGACACATTAAAATAAGCGTCTCTGCTTTATTAATGTCTGCTGCATAAACCAATTGTTTTAGGAGGCCCCACAGATAAAAGTTCAAAGGATTGAGGTCAGGAGAACATGCAGACTCCTGGAACTGGTCTTCCCCTATCTATCCATCTTTCATGGTAATTGTCAGCCATCAAATTATGAACAATGTGACTAAAATGAGCTGGAGCCCCATCATGTATGAACGACATGTGTCCTTGTAGTAGCAGGGGTACATCCTCTAACAGGTCTGGAAGTGTGTTCAAAATAAAGTGCCTGTAGAAAGCTCCTGTAATACTAGGAGAACTTATGAACCTACCAGACAGTCACCTACAATTCCAGCCCACACATTAATCTAAACTGATGCTAGTGTCTAGCCTGTATTATACCATGGGGATTCCAATCTACCCACAAATGTTGGTTGTGTAAATTTGTTATTACATCTCTTCCAAATGTTGCTTCATCTGTAAATAAGACTAAAGAGATAAATAACAGATCAGCAGTTTGTGCAATAAAGCATCATGTTGAATGATCAGAGGGTGAAAGACCCTGCATACATTGCAAATGATATGGATACAAGAGCTGTTCTTGAAGTACCTATGAGGTGTATGACATGCTAGGGCCACTTAACATGTGCTAATACCTGGATCATCTCTGACGGCCTGTAAAATGTGTTCTTCGTGGTCAGGCATACAAACGAATCTTGGTCTTCCTCGGTATATAATTTGTGGTGCCACAGATCCTGTCTCAGCAAAAGTTGGATGATTGAGTTGTTTTCAGTCTTGAAATGCAGTCTGATACAGCCATGCAGCCTCATGTCCATTACCATTTGTGTGGCCATTTGTATATCTGCCTGTTCATGATATGAATATCCTGCCATTGTTAAACGAAACATTTCTCAATTAACTCACTACTACACACATTAAACATTGAAGACGGATGGGCCACAAATGTAACCTAGTCTGCACGGCAACGCAGCGCCATCTATTGTAAACTGGTTGGGTAGAAATCTTTAATATCATACTTGATAAAAACAAGTCTACTTTTATTGTCAATGCAATGAAACCAGGAAATGCATTCATTTGTACCTTTCCATTGGATTGTTTGTGTAGCTATTCATAACAAGTTGCATACATTTTGTAAAATTTTCTGGTTAATGATTCCAACTTCAGCTTTGGTGGTGGTTTATTAGGTGAAACAAAGGGTTTTTAAGGAAGTCATTTTTATTGTCCTTTATTGTTAGGAAAACTCTGCTTACCATATAATGGATGAATCTTGTTGCTAATTCCCAGCTTGGCCATGATTTCCTTAGTCTCCTTGATATCATCAATATTATGATACTGGTACTTTTTCTATAATGCCTGGTGACTTCGTCAGTTATCATCCTTTTGTATGCACTCAGACTTATAGTGTATATATTTTTTTGTTTTTTCACCCTTGGTAAATATCTTTGGTGACTTTTTTATTTTTATCACCTCAGCAGTCAAAATCTTTTGAAAACTGTTAATGCTTCGCCTAAATTTGATTTTACCCAACACACCAATTAGTTCATCTTCAAAGGCAATGAGCCTTGTTTTAAACTTGAATATTTCTTCATCATCCTTGTTGTTGGCATATTTTTGCAGTGCAAATAATGCTTTCCATTTCATTCTAGTGAGGAAATTATATATATATATATATATATATATATATATATATATATATATATATATATTTATTTATTTATTAAAAATTATAACATAAACATGTTATAACTTCACTACAAAATAGCTATTTTGTTTCAACACTTATAGTGTCTTATCAAGTGATGGTGTTGAATGTGGAATAAAGAGTTTAAAAGATTCAAATCAACCAAACACCTCTCGATATGGGAAATACTGTTACATAAGCTACTATGACCAATCAAAATACAAGTATATGAAAATTCAAAAAACTTGACAATGAACTTTGGTTATAATTATTAATACCTTAATGTTAGTCTTAGACTAAAACTGAAATCATTCTGATTAATTTTAAATTTTACTATAAAATTGAAAATTAAAAATTACCAATTTTAAATTTAACCTGTGTTAAGTTTAAAATATAAAATTATTTAAAGAAGGAACTGAGCAAAAAATACATATATTTTTATTATTTTATTTTAATCGAAAAGCCAAAATCTCAGAGCAAACACTAAGGAGCTACAAATATTGTAACAACTTAGATACATTTGAAGAGATGATATGGGCAGGGGAAGAAATTTTACAAATGACTATCATACACAATAATATACAAATACATAGACATATTTAGATATATATAATTAGAAAAAAGTACTTGGAACTTCAATCTCTGTGCTTCATTTTTGTCATGTGGTTAATATTAATAAATGTTTTTCATACTAATTACATTGATACCCTTTCGTTTGACTTTGTTTTATTGACCAATTCTTAAACTATACGAAGTACACGTGGACTTTTTCTTTCTAATCATGTATTTTGAACCTCACCTTGACAACCCTCAAATCCATGCTAAAAGACAAAATGAAAATAATCTAAAGGAACTTGCATCACCTTGACAACACCTAACGCTAGAAGATAACATGGATATCACTTAAAGAAACATTCTCTTCCTCACCACTCGCAAACTACTAATTATTATCCCTAAAGGACTGAGGTAGCTAGTATATATATACACTGTCAGATATACCGATGTTCACAACACATATTTTTTGTATGATTCATTCCACCCTTTTTTATATCTTCATTAACATTATTATAAGTATTTTTTTGTTACATTTTTATTTCAGTTTATTTTTCCACACACCCCATTTTCTAATAATGATTTTTCAAAAGAATTCTTTATCCCTTTTTTTTGTACTATTCTTCTCTCTTTTTTTCTCTTTTATTTTATTTCTATTGCCTTTTTACACTCTGATCCTATCTCAATACACAATGCATCCATTTTTGTATGTTTTTCCCCCTTTTCATATTAGTATTTTTAGTATTTTGTATTTTTTTTTTTTTATTTCAGTTTATTTTTTTCTGCACTCACCAATTTCTAACAATGATTTTCCTAAAAGAATTCTTTATTCCTTGTTTAGTGCTATTTCTTTCCTCTTTTTTTTTTCTTTTTCTCTTTCATTTTATTGCCAATATTTCACTATGTTCCCACACTTTATCCTAACACACAAAATCTTTCAACACTAATACTCACCCCTGGTCCTATAACCCTTTTTCCTCTATGTTCAACATCTCACTCCCCTTCCAACCAATACCAATCACAATTCTTAAATCTGAGGTTATTTTCACAAAAAGTTTTGCACAGTGAGAAATCAAACAGGTAACAGATTTTTTTTCTAACAGACTCTACCCAGCCTCAAGAACTAATGTTGGATAGTCTCCACCATCCCTCTGTTTATTTCTTGCATCTGCTGATGAAGAACACAAGTGTGTTCAAAAATTCCGAACTTGGAACCTCAATCTCCGGGCTTCATTTTTATTACATGGTTAATATTAATGTTTTCCATACTGATTTCATCAGTACCCTTTTGTTTGACTTTGTTTTATTGCCCAACTTATCTACTCTATATATATTATTTTTTAATAAATGAATATTATTTAAATTGTTTGAATAAATTCATTTATTAAAGATATATATATTTCCTTGGGAAAGGTATGAATCCTCTTCATCTCCCTCTAGCTATGGGTAAAATAGCAGGACAGACTGGGTTCTATAGCCTTGGATGGCAACTGGTCTAGGAGAAGGACAACTCTGAATTCAAAACCTGCGGAGGGTCGTTTGGGAACCTTGTGGCATTCAGTGCACCATGTCTCTGTATTCATTCCTTCAAAAAGTGTGAATGGTCCTGCACGAGGCCTTCACCACTATAATCAAATCTCATGTGCCGGTGTTGGGCTGTTGGTTTCCTGGAAACTAATCTGCTTGATCCTCATACGTCAAATCTCGACGGGAGAGTTGATTTATATTTCCTGAATATTACTCGCTCATTTTTGTTTTACCAGACTTTGAATGGCACATTAGGGTCCCAGCTATGGGCAAATAGTAAACCCCCAAATAAAAACAAAACACTATAAAAGTATAAAAACATATTTTTATAGTAAAAAATACCAGCAATACATTTTTACATAAAAAAATGACCAACAATACATATTCATAGTAAAATGACCAACAATACATTTAACCCATAGAGGTTGATATGCTGCCAAACAAAAATACTATTGTACATATTCATAATTCAAAATGTTTGCTTTGTAGCTGATTGGTGCCTATGCTATTAGCAAAACTGCCCTTTTGGGTATGATTAAAGCCCTTGTACCACAACTGAGTGCTATGAATATTAGGGTCAACGGCATTGCACCAGGATTCATTTCAACAAACTTCAGCAAAGGCGTAAGTCTAAAGATTTCATTTTAAATTTCTTTATAAATAAATTGTAAATGAGCAAGAAGTGGCACAATGGTTATTCATGTTGTAAATGAAATTGGCAGGTTAAGTTCAAATTCCAGTTAAGAACAGTGAATTCACTTTACACTAATGTTCTGAATTTTAAAGCTAGAGAGCCACTCCTGGTAGAGGATTACAATTGAAATAGTAATGATGAGTGAGTTGTCTGTTATGAATGAAAGAGGAGATGGTAGGAAGTAAAAATTATGAGGATAAAGAGCATAGATAAGGAGTGAGCCATGGCTTAAAGAGGTCAAGATTAAAGTATTTTGAGAAGTATTCATCTAGGAATCTGTTCTAGAAAGTGACACTTTTTGGAGAAAAGACTGTCTGAGTGAAACTTCATTCTTACATTTGGAACACATGGGAAATGGGGGTGATAAAAATCCTAGATAAATCATTCAGAAGATATAACCTATATGATTACAAAATTACTTAAATATGGCCGTCATTATTTGACAGTAAAGGTCCTGTTAGCTTTCTTTGGATATTTTTACTTTTAATGATTTAAAACGCAGATTTGTTTCTTATCTGTGACAACAGAGAAATTCAATTGCAAAATGTATGGCTTTTCTATCATATTTAGAATTTTTGTTTCCACTTCTTGAAATATTTTATGAAAGGTTTCTAACTATGAAGTTGAGTCACCTTTTTTGTGTCTGTTTTTCAGATAATAAGCAATGAATCAATTGCTGAAAGTGTTTTAAACACAATTCCAATGAACAGGTTTGTTATATTTCTATTTATTGCTTTATTCTTTTATTTGATTTCAGTGTTGTAAGCGTCATTAGAATGTATCCCGAATATGTCTTCTCAATCCTATTTTACCTATACAACCCATCCCCCATCTTAATATGTCAAAGTCCTAATAATTTTATGAGAGAAACTTTGTCTGGTGATGAACAGAGAAAAGCATGATCAAAACGTTTCATGTCAAAAAAGTTAGAATAAATGCTGACAAAAACAAATTAGCAACACCTGTGAAAATTTCAGTTTTCCAGTTTTTAATTTTCTGAGTCAGTATTCTTAAATTAGTGATTGAATATATTTCTTCTGATTTCCATAACTATAAAATACTCTATTACATTGTTAAATATTTGGGCTTAACGACTCTAACAAAATACTGCAACAACAATCATAAATATTAATGAAGACCATTATTTGAAGAAGTAAGTCGCTACAAAGATTCAAAATTGAGAAGGTTTTCCATTTAACTGAAGTAAACCTGAAACACCTAATAACATTCTCAGTACCTCTATTTTCTTTTTCCTTTCTTTTTTCCTCTTTCTTTTTTTTTCTTTTTTTTTATTTTTTTTTTTATTTTTTTTTTTTTTTTTTTTTCTTCTTTTTCTTTTTTTGTTTCTTTATTTTTTGTTTTTTTGTTTCTTTATTTTTCTTTTTTTGTTTCTTTATTTTCTTTTTATTTTCTTTTTTTTTTCTTTTTTCTACTCTTTTCTTTTTTTTTCTTTATTTTCTTTTTCTTTTTGTTTCTTTATTTTCTACTCTTTCTTTTTTGTTTTTTATTTTCTTTTTCTTTTTTTTTCTTTTTATTTTCTCTTTTCTTTTTTTTTTTTTATTTTTCTACTCTTTCTTTTTTTTCTTTTTCTACTTTTTTTTTTTTTATTTTTCTTTTTTTTTTTGTTTCTTTATTTTCTACTCTTTCTTTTTGTTTCTTTATTTTCTACTCTTTCTTTTTGTTTCTTTATTTTCTACTCTTTCTTTTTGTTTCTTTATTTTCTACTCTTTCTTTTTGTTTCTTTATTTTCTTTCTTTTTTTTGTTTTTTATTTTCTTTTCTTTTTTTTCTTTATTTTCTATTTTCTCTTTTCTTTTGTTTCTTTATTTTCTTTTTTTTTTTTTTTTTTTTTATTTTTCTACTCTTTTCTTTTTGTTTCTTTATTTTCTCTTTCTTTTTTGTTTCTTTTATTTTCTCTTTTCTTTTTTGTTTCTTTATTTTCTACTTTTTTTTTTTTTGTTTCTTTATTTTCTACTCTTTCTTTTTGTTTCTTTATTTTCTACTCTTTCTTTTTGTTTCTTTATTTTCTACTCTTTCTTTTTGTTTCTTTATTTTCTACTCTTTCTTTTTGTTTCTTTATTTTCTACTCTTTCTTTTTGTTTCTTTATTGTGATAACAATAACATTTCTTACAAGAGTATAGAATTTATTTCCAAAATTATAAAATATTCTCATAGTTTATAATTTTATATTTACAAAATTGTAAAAATATATGAAAAAATTATTACAATTTTTTATTTACCATATGATAAAGAAATAACTGAAGATAAATTTATGAAAATAAGCTTTTTATTCATAAATTATAAAAATACCTGTTAACTATAAAACAAAATATAAATGTGTAATGATGAGTAACTTTAATTATAAAAGCTATAGTTCACCAAAATAGGCTAAGAAAAAGATGTATAAATTCAGTTTCATATGTAATACTTTCATTAAATTTGTAAAATTAGCATTTTAAAACAATAAAAATTACCAGTTAAATTTATGGTAATAGCAGTTGTTTCACCCGGGGTTTCATTGGGACTACAATAGCCCGGAACGCAACAAGAAAATAAAAAAAAAAGAAGAAGAGATCCCAAGGTTCAAGGCAAAAACAAAGAAAAGAACAGTAAGAGGGGAATTCTCCAAATTCAGCAGAGACTGGTAAACAATGTGCAGATACAGAATGACAGGAGACAATACGAGAATTTATAATACAAATAGTTTTAATTACAAATGTACAAGGTGCGAAAGTAAGACAAGAAAAAAACGAAACTTAATAACACAAGGGATGGGGAAATAAGTAATCAATTAGACAAATGCTAAAGCGACGAATATCATAGGAATATAGAGCAAGCAGACAATAAGATATATAAAAACATGCAATACTTACAGATGGAGATTGACGTTGATTGGGTTTTTATCAAAAAACACAGTTCAATGAAAAGGATGTTTATACACTCTTTTGTTTTTCTTTTGAACATAAAAGGGAGGGATTATCAATGTTCTAGTATACACATGTGGATCATAAAAGCGTAGCCGACTTGGGTGATGTTCTTAATTCTTCAGGCAGCAAACAGCAAAATCTGATTTTGACAATATCTGCTTCCTCGGGCAGCAAACAGTAAAATCTGGTATTTGGTGACATCCACTTCTACGGGCAGCAAACAGCTAAGATGTCCGCTCTTTTTGAGGGCAGGCAACTGGGTGATAGATCATTAGCCCAACACACACGAAACAAAACCGTCATGTGTCGGCCTACAAAAAATGCGTAGGCGTCATTCATATAATCCTGACAGGGTCATTTGCACCTATTCCTACACATTCGTCTGGCCCACGATTAGAGGCCATACAGGAAATGATGGGGAAATGAGAGGTTCTTTTGCGAGAACTGCCTATGAATTAACTGGTAATAAAAAAAAATATATCTTACAATCTGCGTTTTCACGGAAATATAAAAAAATTATTAATATTCCTATGTTTCATTGCAAACACAATTGTACTTAAAACATGTTTGTAAAATTCGAGGTGAGGGTACAAATATGGGTTAACGTAACACAGTATAGTGAGGAAAATGTTCTTTAAATATTGTGGTGTCTTGATAAATGTGCCTAGCCACCTATGCTGTGAACAGGTTTAAAAGGAGTAGATAGGCTTGTCCATCACCTGGCTAATAGTCTTTCTATGTTTAATGAACAAAAGTAGAAGTTTATTCCTTATTTCCTGTTTTTGCCAATTCTTGAACACTCAGTACTTCCCCTTGCGTTTTAGTGGCTTTGATGATGAGAACATAGTTCGAAATAATACAGGTACATTGAATTTTAATATTCCAAAAGATTTTCAATTTATTAACCCCAATTCTGCTGTGGATATACATAGATATCTCTGCAAAAATCCCATTGCATGTTATTGACATATACATGTTTTCAAGATGAACTTGCACATCTCTGTAAAACATAAATGTATAATTAATTGCCTGCTGTTGACATATGTATCAAATGTATAAATATCTTTTACAGATCAGTTTATGTGGTATAGTATTTGTGTGTGTATATATATATATATATATATATATATATATATATATATATATATATATATAATATACACACACACACATGCCTTGGATTGAGGAATCTGATTGCCGAGTTCGAATTCCAGTTGAATCCATTACGTTCACTTATGTGCTAATACCCTTCGGAAAGGTATTAATCCTCTTCTTCTCCCTTCATGGGTAAATAGCAGGACAGACTGGATTCTATAGCCTTGGATGCCAACTGGTCTTGGAGAAGGACAACTCTGAATTCAAAACCTGTAGATGGTCGTCTGGGGACCTTGTGGCACGTAGTCTCTGTATCCGACTCTTCAAAAAGTTTGGTTGGTTCTGCACAAACTCTTCACCACTATAATCAAATCATGTGCTGGTGTCTGGCTATCGGTTCCTAGGAACTGAGCTGCTTGACCCTCATACGTCGAATACAATGGGAGATTCCACCATGCATGTGTCCCAGAATTAACTATTGCAGTGAAATCAGACAAGTTTTTAAAAAACTTACTTTTATTTCTATTCATCATGTTTAATATGTGTTAGAAGTGTATAAATTTCAAATTTATTTTCTAATTTTATTTTAATTTCCCTTCAGAACCTTAATAATAATGAATACATGGGAACGTCTCTTGGTCGACCTCCCCCACTGATTCCTTTGCATGGAGTTTCATAAAAACAAGATTTTATCACCAAAATATCAATAGTTTAGACGAATTTAAAGAACACATTCAGTTAGCAGTACCGAAAATAACTCTTGAATTGCTTTAAAATAGGTTTCACAATGCTAAGGAATAGATTTGAAATTAAGACGTGCTGAAAATTTTCAATGTCCTTCTCTTTTTATTTTTCCTCTTCCTTTGCTTTCTTTTTTCCCCCTCTTTCTTTCTTTCTTCCCCCTCTTTCTTTCTTTCCTTCTCTTTTTCTTTCTCTCCTCCTTTTCTTTCTTTCCATCCACCTCTTTTTCTTTCTTTCCCTCCTCTCTTTCTTTTTCTTTTCTTTCCCTCCTCTTCTCTTCTTTCTTTTTCTTTTCTTTCCCTCCTCCTCTCCTCACAACCTTTTTTACCCCCAATACAGGAATGTTGCTATGGACCACAAGATTGCTGAGCTCTTCATGGTTGAAGAACAAAACTGTGCTTTGCAAGTTGTGATGACCGATTACCATCCAATGTTACAGGACCCAATCTGTCCTCCTCATTAGAATAAATCTAGATCAAGGGCCTTCTCACTTATCTTAAAGGAACACCCTCCTGATTGACCATGTCTTCAGCGTTGTAGCTGTACTCACTATGCTTGGCCAATAGTGGGTTGGTGAGGCTATTTAACCCATAGTTGGAGGTTTTAAATTCAGAGTTGTCCTATTCCTAGACCAGTTGCCACCCAATGCTATAGGATCCAGTCTGTCCCCCTCATAAGAACAAATCTAGATCCAGGGTCTTCTCACTCATGTTCAAGGAGCTCTCTTCATGATTGAAGAATGTAGTTGTGCATTGCGTGTTGTGATGTGGACTTTTGCTCCTTTAGATTTTCTGACATTAAAATTGCAAGGCTGATTCATGAACCTTGGAATTACGACCTCAAACTTTTTTTTTTTTTATATCTGACCCCCCACCCTATTTTTATTTACCTCAGTGCTCTTATCTTTAAAGGGTTGAAGAAAATTTTTTGACATAAAAAGTATTGCCTTTTAAATAATGTTTGGGATTAAATAAAAAAAAATCGTCAACTAATTTTTCTCGCTTTTATTTATTGTTTAGGTTTGGGATGCCTGATGACTGCGCTGGAGCTGTGACGTTTTTAGCATCTGATGATGCGCGCTATATTACAGGGGAAACTATCACTGTAGCAGGAGGAATGATGTCTTCTTTGTAAAAAAAAAACAAAAATCACATTGAAAATTCTAAATGGAAAGTGAACGCCTACTAAATATATTGAAGAATTTTAAAATGAACTTATTAAATAGAAAAATTTGTTCTGAATTTCATGAACTTGGATAATTACAGAAATCAATGTAGAGACTTGCAGAAATTTTGTACTATCAGCAGTATTATTTTATTATTTTAAATTATATGATTATTGATTATTATAATTGTGGAATATTACCAGATAGATTTGAAATTTTATGAAACTTTTTTTTTCTCCACCAGACAAAATAATGAAATGTTATTCTGAAGAATGTATGAAAAAAAAAAAAAAATAAAATATTTTTAATAAATTTTGAATTTTTTTTTTTTTCTTTAATAAACTTTTGGATAGGAACAGATATTTATTTCAATTTTTATTTTTTTTATTTTTCTATAAACTTAAAAGTTTATAGAAAAAAAGGTCTTCAAAGGGTTAAAAAAAAAAAAAAAAAAATACCAGGGATAAAATCTCCTGAGAACAGATCCAGGACCTTCTCACTCCTGTTGGAGAACGTTTAACCATATTTTCAGGGTTGTAGCTGTACTCGCTACTGTTGGCCAATTGTAGGGTAATGAGGCTATTTAACCCATAGTTATGAATTCAGAATTTAACTAACCTTTACTGCCTCCAGTGAAGAAAAAGAAAAAACAATTGCAAACATGCGAGAAAGGATTAAAAAATTTAATAAAATTACTTTAGTTTTTTTCTTTTAAATAACATAAACATTCTGACAATCAAACTTTGTTTTTATCAAGTTTGGGGCCATTTTTTCATCATGGTATGTTCTTTTTTCAGCAAATTATTAGAGGTACCTATATAACTACCTTCACTCCTCAGCACTTTTAAAAAGTGATGATTCAAATTGTAATAAAACCTAAACACATGAAAGTGAATGTATATCTTTTTTTTTTGTTCTTGAGAATTTACAACAAAAATATTAAATACTATTAGATTGTTTATTGATAAGAATAATTTTATATTGACAACATTCTAAAAATTAATACAATTAAAACTAATGCAATACAATATTTATCATTTATCAATTGATAAAAAAATAAATATGAAAGCAATTTTTTATTCATTACTTTATAAACATTGGCTAAATTATGGGAATCAGTTTATAAAGAAATCATTATTTAGCATTTTGTAAACTTTGAATCAATTGGCAATTAACCAATATTTTGCCAACCATTTCAATAAACAATCTAATA